AGCCTTTAAGGTGTGGGAGAGAGACTTCCTCTGTGCCCCAATTCGTCCCCTGGGCCCTGATTCTGCTCATGCTCAGGATGTCACAAAGTTCCTCTTAGACATTTCCATGAACTTCTGCCTCTAAACCTTTTCTTCATGGAGGCTCCAAACCAGTCCAAGGAACTGCTGAGGGATAGACCACCTCCTTCTCCTCTATCCTTCTGGTTTTTTCTCATCATGTTTTTCCCTCTCTTGTTCCGTGCCACCTCCTCCCACCCCATCCCCAGCCAAGTTATGGAGTGAAAACTCCCATGTGTAGGGCTGAGGAACAGAAACCAGTGTGAGGGTTTATGTGGTGGGAAGGGTGTGTGTGTGTGTTTACACTGTCGTTTCCAAAGCTGGCTGATCACCCAAATTGCCCAGGGAGCTTTTTAAAAGCATAGATTCCCCAGGGGCCCTACCTCCAGAGGTTCGGATTCATCGCAGAAGTGATGAGGGTAGTGGAGAAGGAATTTTCCAGGTGAAACATGGAGTGGGGGGAAGTCAAGACATCTCGGGCAGAGTGTGCAGCAGGCACAAAGATGGGGAGCTGTGAAGGAGAACGTCATGCTCGGGGACAGACAACAGCCCTGTGTGGCTGGAGCAGAAGGTGGGGAGTGCTAGGCCTTGAATCTGAGAGGTGGCAGGGCTCAGTTCATGAAGGGCCTCGAATGCCATGCTAAGGGGTTTGGACTCGATTTTGTAAAGCCTGCCTCGCCTACACTAAAGGGTTGCTTTCATAGCCAAAGCGATCCACTTGACAAATCAAAGTCCTGCAACATCTACCACCTGGAGCTTCTAGGGTCTTCGTTAAAGGCAGATGGAGGCCTGTCTGGACAAGGCCAGCTCACATCCTGGAAACCTGTAGGAGCCAAATTGCAGGTAGACCTGCCCATGCATTCTTCATTTCAGTTTATTGGCATTCAAGGCGATTTATTGGCCAATTTTGGTTTGTTGGTGGCTGTGGCATCAGAGAGAGCTCTGCAATGCTCTGAGAAAAAGACGTTGCCTGAGGCAACTGGATTGCTTAGAGTTCATATTTTTCCCTCAAAGGCAAAATAAATAATCAGGAACACTATCACTTCAACCATGTATTTTCTCTTCCTAACAATTTTGGAGAGACCTTGGCTTTCATCATGTACAATGGAGAAGTCATTGTGAAATGCCATGACAGGTGCCAAAGGGGCATCTCTTGGAAAGAGAGTGGCCTGAACATGGATCCTGTGCCCTATCTTGGGCAATTCAGTTCAACTATATTTATTGTGTACTTTGTGCCAGGCGGTGTGCAAGGTACTAGAGATATAACAGAAAAATTTCTATGAGCCTCAATTTCCCCCAAATGGTAATAATATAGGTGGTATAAATATAGTGGTTAAAAGCCTGGCTTTGGAGTGAGACCTGGATTCAAATTCTAGCTCCCCCACTTAGCAGCAGTGTAATCGATGTTACTTAAACTCTGTAGCTTCCTTAGCTGCAAAATGGAAGTAAGAACAGTGCCTATCCACTAAGAATTTTAACCAGGATTAAGGGAGATTATATTTAGCACAATGCCTGGCCTGTAATAAGTGCTCAAAAACGGTAAAAAAAAAATTTTTTTTCTCTTTTTTTGTAAAACTGAAGAGCCCACAGTAGGCCCTAGTATATATCCATGGAGGTAAAGACCCACCGCACTGTGGATCAGATAAAATGTTTTTGTCTGTAAGCAATGGAAAACCAACTCAAACCAAATCAAACCACAAGCACACTTATGTGCGCTCATAAATGATAGTGCAGAGTTTAGGGGGCCTCATGGTTGACTAAACCCAATGAGTCTGTCTGGGTTTCCTGTTGATTCTCTTGGCTCTGGCATTCCTGATGTAGTAGTGAAATATCTGTAGGTGTTCTGGCTCTCACACCTGCGCATGGCAATGCCCAGAGGAAAAGAGAAAGGATTATTTCGAGAAGTTTTCCCAGAAAGAGGAGGAGAAAGGAGAAACTGTCCCCCAGTTTATAGAAAACTTCTCCTCAGGTCTCAAGAACCCATCAGGGGTCACATGACCATTCCTGACCGAATCATGGGCTAGGGGGATGGAATTATCCATAGGCCAATTAGATTCATCCCAGGAGCTGAGGCTGCATTCTTCTTCCCCTGAGGTGAGAGCTCTAAGGGAGAGGTACCCAAACAAAGTCACGGTTCCTAGGAAGGAGGAAGAGGGTAAACGGATGCTGGGTAGACAGCCATTTTGTTGGGAGACTTTTTTGGGGTCAGATGCTGAAAATAATAATTAACAGTAATGGTTCCTTACAGTCTTGTGGCATCTAGTAATTCTTAGAGGGCTTAATTTCCCGCCTATTTTTTTCAGAATCTTCAAGGAAAGATTGCCAGCTTCTATTATGGTTACTAAGTTTCTAGAGCTTTCTAAAACACAGTTTAATCAGTAGTTTGAATTTCTTTTCTCAATGAACTCTTCTGGCTATGGAGTGGATTGAAAAGGGCTGTATCCTATTAGCAAGTGTGACTCCTTTAGGCAAATCCCAGCCTGATCTGAGCCTGGAGTTGCTGAAGTTAGAAAAAACCTTAGAGATTATCAAGTCCAATGATTGTTAAATCTTTGGACAGGCATGGTGGTGGGGTCAGCGTATCCCCTAAAGTTGTATGCAAATTTGTGCTCTATAGCTTCCAACATATTTTCAAAAAGTCTGAGACCCAAATAGGTGGACTCCAACTTCTTATTTTACAGGTGAGGAAAATGAGGCTCAGTGAGGGATATGACCTATCTAAGGTCACATTACAAGTTCGACGGTATAGTGGGAAAAGCACCAAGAGCAGTGATTTCAAAACTGGGATCTGTACAATTCTATGAGGTCCTTCAGTGATTTTACAAATATTTGATTCAAATTCCATTTTTAAAGTGGTAATAAATATGACAGACACTTGAAACAAAATGGAGAAATTAATTGAATATAGAGCCTGATTTGAGACTATAATTGTCTTTTGTAAGTCCGATTAATATTATTTTTGTTTTTCAAGACAGCCTCGTTGATCAATATTAAGTAAATCTCGTTGATCAATATTAAGTAAATGTTCTAAATGTGAACTTAAGAATTTATCCTGATAAAAGACACTAAATCTTTTACTGGTGTAAAGTTTTCTTTGAAAAAAAAAAAAACGGGGTTTGCTGCTAAAAAGAAGTTTGAGAACCACTGGTTCACCATTTACTAGCTGAGTGACCTTGGGACGACCTGCTCTTGTGAAGATCAGGGATAATATAGTTTAAGGAGCCATGTAAGCTCAAAGATCCGTAGAACCCTGGTTTACTCCCACTCAGGCCAGGCTGTTATAACACCTTGTGGTTACAAACACCAGATCTACTCCCCTCATTTGGACAGAACTTTGGCCTAGATCAGATGGCCCAAGTTTAAGGTCTGCTTGGGTATCAATGCAAAGTTTCCCTCATCAAATGAACTTTGACTGTCTTGAAAAGTTGTGATCTACATATAAAATGTCTGCTGGTGGTGGTATATGGTGGCAGTGGAGGCAGGCAGTGTCACACGAAGATACATTTAGACACCTTAGGACTCTTTGGCATTAGATAGATCAGGGTTTGAATCCCAACTCTGTTTCTTACCAACCATGTGACTTTGGGTAAGTTTTAACCTTTGAGCCTCAGTGTCTTCATCTATAAAATGGGGACAATAAAGCATCTCATCGAGCTGTTTTGAGGATAAAATGATGGAATGTATTACAAGCATTTGAGCACAGAGCCAGGTGCCTGGTACTTCACAAATGGTAGCCATTAATTCAAGAAAGTTCTTCAAAGGTTGAATGTTGCAGGTAATACCCATTGGTTTTATTTCATGTATTTCTTTTTAAGTAGAGGGTATGCCTGTGTGATTAGCGGGGTGACAGCAAGAAATGGGTTCCTCTGCTGTTTGGATTAAGGCAAAGGGAAGTGAAACCAGCCAAGAATTCAGGGGGTGCCTGGATCTCAAACTCCCCAGGGAAAATGGGTGGGCAGGTATACCAGAGGAGCCTAGACATGAGAGATGCCAGACAGCTTACTGTAGCCTCTCTCCTTACCCTGGCCCACAAAGAAGCCAAGGCAGCTAGCCCAGGACTGGAGGATCTGAGGTACCACTTCTGAAAAACGAAATCCACATACATTAAATGCAGGCAGAAACAGACTCTCACCCAAAGAAAATCAGTAAAAGGGCACACTTTATTATGTACAGCACCGGAAAGGGAGGCCACCTGGAAAACACTCTTGCACTAACACTCTCATCCTAGAGCTCCTTCGATGCTTCCTCCCTCCCAAGCGATTTAATTCCAACCTATCAGGCTGTGAATCCACAAGGCAGAAAAGCAAAGGCTGTTTGGCATCTGAAGACACGGAAACTCAAGGAACAGAAAGCATTGTGACTCTAAATCTGAGAAGAGATTTTCAGCCAGGATATGTGGTCATTTCCTGGTCCTCAGTGGTCAAGGGTGAGCCACCTCACAAAAGAGATGAAATCGTTATTTTAAAATTCAAAATATAAATGCAACTTTAGTTACAAGTCGAAATGCTCCACATACATCTAATAAACTCAGCTAGGAACCTGGATACGTGGTGGTTCAAGGCTTTCTAAAACAAGCTTAGAAACAGGTGTAAAGGAGGGGCACTCATAGGCCGGGATGACAGAGTGATCCAGCAAAGGCCAGATATGAAGCATGGCTCTGGGTAAGGAAGCTGCTATTCTTAGACTTTTCTAGGTGAACTCGGGGCCTCAAAGAGGAAGTGGTACAAATGTCACCAGCAGCTTCCAGACCAACAGGAAGAATGCCAGGGGGCTCAGACTCATAGGTATTTGCAAAATGGAAGGTGCTTCCTAGTATTACAGATTAAGCAACTGTGGGTCAGAAGTGCTGATCACTTCCTCTTTCAGCATTAATGTAAATGACAGAAAAAGAATGACTAGGCAAAAAAGAGCTACGTCCGTAGAGATATCCTAAGTTCAACCACATCTTCTCAAGCTCACGGGATATTATATGCCCAATATATTGCGAATTCCTTATACTACTTAATGAATGGGATTGGTAACTGAGATATTTCACAGCGTACAATAGTTAAAAGCATGCAGACAGTAAAATATTATGGTTTGCTGAAGATAATTTTTTAAAAAGTATTAGTCCTTATGCTATTCAAATGGGTATATGTAAACAATTGTTTATAGAACTTAGAGAAAATTTTATTTTAAAAACTCAAAACTATTTAGAACCTGATATATGAAAGTAGGCAGAAGTGAGAAAAAAAGCACTTTTGTGACAAGCATTTAGTTGGTTTGAAAGATCACAGAGGAATCATTTACTGATAAAGAGGCTCAAAGAAGTTTAAAAAACCCACATTATTTAAAAAGACCTTAATAATAGCAGATTTAAAAGTCTTTCAAGCATTAGAGTAATCATTTTCATGATCTTGACCATTTCCTCCAGCACTCACAGTTAGTGGCAAGAAAATGCCTACTCTCAAGTGAGGATTATTTTGAAACATGGTTTGGGTTTAGAAAGTAAACGGATGTTAGGAAAATTTCCTTAATTAAGATTCCCCAGAAGTAAGGCACATATGGCCCAGAGAAGCTGGTTGTAGCCTGCCTAAGGTCACTGTTTTCTGCAAAGCATTTGTCCAGCCAGGGTGTCAGGTAGTGGTTATAGCCTATTTTCTTGCCTTTAGCCTGGCTGCTGATAGAGGGTGCAGAATGACTCAAAGTCAAAAGAAGAGGGATTAACCTATTACATAATGATCTAAAAATATGAACTTTTAAATATTTTAAAGAGTAAGAGATTATCTTACATAAATCACCAATCTCTCTCTCTCTCTTTCTCTCTCGCACAGTATTTACAAGCTAACAATCTTCATCTGTTGCTAGGATCACTGTACATTCTAAGATCATCACACTTAACATATGGAAAAGAAAGGGAGAGAGAATAGTTAAGGTTCCTGCCCTACTCTCTCCTTATGGGTTAAAGGCTGATTTGGTCCCCGCTTCATCCTTGGAACGGAAGAGCTCATCTCTGCATTAGCCTATATGGCTCACTGTTTTGCCCCTACAATGCCTTGCAACATATCTATGGGCAGAGGGAAGACAATCGTCGAATTTTTCTCAGCAGCAATGGTGGTCAGTGTCTGAAGGTACCGGAGCTGAAGGGCAGCAGGAGATTCAGTGATGACCATGGAGGCTTCTTTCAGAGCCCTGGATGCATTCATTTCTCCCTCAGCTGCAATGACCTATGGAACAGTGGAAAAGAGAGGTCAAACTGCAGAAAACCGCAGGTGTCAAGCAACACTCTTCAAACCAGGGTATGTAGACCTCAGGTGACATACAGAACTTTCCAGGGAGTATGCCAGAAGAGTTTTAGGGAAATCAATTTCCAGATATTCAGTTTCCATATGTTCTTTTTCCTATAACTGATTTGCCTATGTTCCTGAGGTCAAGACATCTTTTACTACGGCCTTTCTGCCATTTTCCAGGGTACCAAACAAAGGGACAATTCAAAATACTGTGTAGGGGTTGAGAAAGTGAATGACTCTAATGACTGGATACAAATCCTTTTGTAAGTTAGACAGATTTCCAATTCTCTGATTTCAAAGAAAGGAGAGAGGACCTTATTGAACTGAAAGCAGATAGACGAGTAAAAATATTTTTGACTAAAGATTGTCATATGATTTTTTTAGCACATAAATTCAGAGGGAGTGCTAAGGATTGTATGACACTATTTTAAACAAAACTTCCCTTTCCATCTACTTATTTATGTAAATAAGGCTTCTTACTCCTTATTTCTGAAAAAATGAAAAATAAGAATAGAATAAATGCTGAATCTTGCCTCATTCCAGCAATAAGTAATAGCCATCTACAAATACATAACTTCATTCCTCATTCATCTCATTAAGAGAAGCACTTCTAGTAAAAGTTTATTTTTTATGTAGGAGAAATTCTGAAACATTTAGAGCCTTATTTGTAGGCACAGGAAATTTTAAAAAAATTAAATTTAACTTATATACTAAATGTGTTGCAGTAGGACAATAAAATAATTCATGACAAAATATACTGTATTAGGAAAAGAATGTGTTGGGGAGGTGGAAGAGAAATATAAGTTCAAAGAGAAAAAAGAACAATAAAAAATTCCTGACTGTTAAAACAGCTCATTCACACAATTTTAAATAGATGATGAAATCGTTATTTAAATTTCCCTGGATGCATTTAAAAGAATGATGTCTCATTGTAGTTTTGATTTCCATGTAATCTATGCAGAAATAGAAGTACAATGATGTACACCTGAAATTTTTACAATGTTATAAACCAATGTTACTGCAATAAACAAAAAATAAAAAAAAAATAAAAATAAAAAATAAAAGAATGATGTTAACAGTTTTATTTTAAAATGTCAATATTTAAAACATGCCAGGAATTATATTCTTGGCAAGTATATAAAATCAAAATGAAAATTTTTACATGTCTATTTAAAATGTGTGATGGAACATATAGTTTTTCTAAATTCTTCTAGGGGTTACATGGGCAAAAACGTTTGCAGATCACTGGAGTGGTGGGGAGAACAGGGACTTCGGAGTTAGACAGACTTGAGCTCAAATCCCAAACTTAACCCTTACTAGCTGAATGTCCTCAGAAAGGTTTTTTAATATTCTGAGCCTCAGATTCTTATTTTTAAAATGGGATAGCCCCTGCCTCACAGGACCATTGTGAGGAAGACAGACAAGGTATATTAAGTGTCGAATGTATAAACGGAGGCTACTGAGTAGGAATGGCCAAGTGACAAGTCAAGACCTGATTTCTGGATCCACCTATGCCTTAATTCATAAAAGATTCAGAAGCCAAATCAAGGCGGTTACTTTTAATTCATAATCCTAGGAGAAGACATGTGAAAATACCATAATCATCAAGATTAAAAGTACAGTTTCACTAGGTTGTTCTCACATGGATCTCAAAATATTAATGGCTCATCATAGTCCTGTGAATATGAGAATTGGAAGCAATTATGATCAGTGAAATTTCATTCACTTATACAGTAAAATTCGGGGGACTTTTGGGTGTCAAGCCTTGTGTAGGAGCTAGGGATAGAGTAGACTCCCTCGCCTCCTTCAACTCCTGGTCAAGTAGGGGAGATGAGACAGACCACTTCATTCTGTGACAATGTGACAAATGCTGACAGAGATATGTACAAGGTACAGGGCTGGCACTAACAGGAAAGCAATTTTTGCAGAAGGTGAGGTGGTGAGGTTATAGAAGTTGAATATCACAGGATACAAGCTCTGTTGTTTGGACTAAGATGAGGAAGAATACTCTAGACAGAACACATGAACAGGTACTGAGGTATTAAAAAGCTGGTGTATTCCAGAAAACCTAAGTGGCCGAATACTATATGAGGAAAGGGGGAAGTTGGGGGGTGAACGGGGCCAGGGTCTGTAGGCCAGTGAAGACCAGGCTGTTTGATCTTCATTCTGTCAGCAATGGGAAGCCACTGAACAGTTTTAAGTAGATAACCTCATCAGATCTAGTTTAAGAAAATACTCAGACACTTGAGGATCTATGAGAAGAGACGAGACTGAGAACTGTTAGTGGGACAGCTCAGAGTGATTGGTGCAATTCACTGGTAGTGGGGATGGAGGAGCAGATGGATTGGGGAGCTCTTCAGGAGGGAGAATCAACAGTTTGGAGGCTGACTGGGTATGCAGAGGAAAGGAGAACAGAGGCTGAGTCCAAGGTTTCTAAGTTTCGGTTGCGTGGGTAATGTCATTTGGTGAAACAAGGGATACAGGATATGGTAGTTACTGAGAGAAGAGACTTAGTTTAGAAGATAAAAACTTGAACTTGTCATGGCAAACCATTATGTCCTACCTAGGTCTGTGAGAAGGGGCAAGTGCCAGATACACTGAAAGAGAATCGTGGCACTGTACTCCAGGGCCAGCACAGTAGAGAATGCATAAACGAACCCCCGCCACAAGAACGGCAGGCTCTGATTTTTTTCCACGTCATCCCAGATGTCCAATTAGGTACTTTTTTTTTGGCTGGACATGGACCAACTGCAAAGACATCTCATCTTCCACTACCAATCAATACACAATCTCTTGGCTGGGAAGCCAGACCCACCGGGCTGGGCACACATTTAATTAATAGGAAAGCTGCTCTGAGTGAGCTGCCAAAGTTGTAAATGCAATACCACTGGCTTTGTCTAAATACAGGGCAAGTATACACTGTGGATAGGATCTTAGGAAGCAAAGCAAGATACCTGTGGGTGTGTGGGGCTTTTGCCAAATGCACAGTAATCCCATGTCAATCAACACTTTATCTTTACAGACCATCATTTTAAAGCTGGCATTTTCACACATGTGAGGGTGGTACTATTGTCTCCCTCTGTAGCCCAGGTGGGCTGGTCTGAGAGAAGGGCAGAGAAAGGGGATCTGCATTTTTGCACTCATTAATAGATGACCAGGCCCAGAAATATGAGCCTGAAAGACATGCCAGGCATTTTTCTGAGAGTCACGTAAAAGAAAATGAGGGAAAACGCAAGTGCAAGAGATATTACATTTCAAGTCATTAGGAGTTGGTCTAAAAACTTCAAAAAGAGGTTCAGCTAACATAATGTAAACTTGTGGGAGAACCAGTCCTGTTTAGTGACTGGCTCCTTTCTCTCAAATTGTGTTTTTCAATTGTGGTAGAGTATTTCTTCATGTGAATAAACATACTATTTACCCATTCAACTAGAGATGAAGTAGTTTCCAGTTTGGGGCAATTACCAAGTGCTGCTGTGAACATTCTAGTACATGCCATTTGGTAAATAAATGAGAGTCTTCCTGTTAGACAAACACTGCCAGACAGTTTTCCATAGTGGTTGTACCAATTTACACCCTCACCAACAAAATATGAGTTCCAGTTCCTCCTTCACCCACACTTGGTTCATTTCTTTTCTTTTTTTAAAGCTACTTCAGTGGATGTCTAGTGTGGCAACTGCTTGTGATTAGAATTTGCATTTCCCTAATGGCTAATTAACTTGAGGAATTATTCTCTGAAGTCTCTTAATCTATAGGCTCTCCTACCCTTTCCCTTCGCAGTTTATTTGTTGAAGAAACTATGACCCCCTTTTTTCCATGAGAACTTGAATATATATAGCCTTATGGTTGCTGCAGGGTTATGTATTTTACATAAGGGCTAGACTCTGTGATTCTATGTGTTAACCCTAAACTGAAAGACTGACAGTCACTGCCTGGGTCCACGAACCTGCTTCCAGACCAACCGTACAGCCCCATCCACGTGGGAGCATAGTAATTCAGAATTCTAACCAGCCTCTTTTCTCTCTTCTTATGGTTATAAAGGGAAGATAGGAACTCTCTTTCCTAACTGGTGAGAACGCTTCTAGAGAGGCTCAGTCCATCCTGGAAAGTCACCGAGGTGGCAGTCAAGAGTAAATCATGTAACTTTTCAGGGCTTCAATTTTTTCATCTGAATAGTGGGATGGCAAATAAGTTTCATTTTTAGGGCCAATTCTAAGCAGTTGAGGGTTGTTACCTGGCGTGCTCTAGAAAGCTTCTGAGGTCAAGTCTAAGCTCAGTGGAAAACAGAGCTGTGGTTAATCACTGGCATGGGAATAGGAGGGTGGAGTGGCAGCATCTGGGCCAGGTATTTGTCACCTTTAGAAGATAATCTCTAAGGACTCTTTGGGCTCTGATATTCTATATAGTCTATGTGTGATGAATTCTATTATCAATATGGTTTGGAAATGGGGCTTTTGGTTAATGACATATTCTAGGTAAAAGCAATTCCCAATTTTCAGAATAACTAGATTATAGTAGGGCATATTTAATATCGTTATCAAAAATATAATTTAGCCTTCTAAAGGTGATGATTTTGAGAGAAAGCACTTGAGGGTTCTGCGTTATCACCAGGTTATCATCACGAGCATCAATTATCTCATAAGGAAAACCTAAAAGTTCTGGTTAGTAGAAAATTCTGTATACAGCATGTCAAATGAGCTACTATTCTATTTGGTGCTGGCTAAGAACTTATTCTGACCAATTTGTGGTTTAAAGGACATCCTGATAGAAGGGCAGTGTTCTGTGGTTAGCCAATTATCCCCAGCCAACTGCTATTTTCTAACAACAAGGCTCTTTGTGTCTTGGGAGATCTGTCAAGTCCACAGCAACCCCTCCTCTGAAAACTATCCCTCTTCCTCCACCCAGTCACAGGCAAGGGGCTGTGGGACCTTCTTAGTAACTAACTTTGCCCTTTGACCAAAGTTGGACCAAAGAGACTCTCTCTGCTGTGAATTTGGAATCAGGGCTGGTCCGTCTCCTTTAGTGTTCAAATGGAGTCAGACATTCCCCCCTCAAGCTATCTGCAGTGAGATGTGGCCCAGGAATGGAATGACTAGCTCCCTTGAGTCTTGACTGCTTTCTGGTCCCTGGCTCAAATTCTCATGAGGCTTGACTCTACTTCGTACCCTTGAGTTTGGTGAGATACCCCTGTATCCTTATGCATTAGCATCTCAATAGATCCTCTTTTCTAGGTTAGGTTAACAAATATTTCCTCAGTATCTCCTATAGGGGTCATGTGCCCATGCAGGGCTAGGACATAGGCAGGGATGATGAAAAGGGGGGAAAAAGCAGATATCAAAGAAAGAGATGAGAAGAAAAGGAAAAAAGAGAGAGGAAGAAAAAACAGTAAGAAGTAAGATCCTGAGAAAAGAAAGACAAGGAAAGTGAGGACAAAAATAAGGAAGGAATGAATGATAAGCAAACTGATGAGATTACCCACTTGCTCTGAAGTCAGAACTAGGGGATTGCGAGAATAAAGTATGGGACATACAGTTACAAAAGAATGAGGTAACTCTATATATACGGACACGCCCACGAGATGCTGTAGGTGAAAAAAGCAAGGTGCAGAATAATGTGTATAGTATGACCCTAATTTTGAAAAGCAAACAAGCCAGTAGTCTAACAAGCTAGTCAGATAAAACGCAATTAAGCCCGGATGATAATCTGGAAGTATCCACACTGAACTGTTACGAGTGGCGGCCTCTAGGGAGTACGATTTGAAGTGATGGGGAGAGCTTTCATCTTTACTAAATACTTCAGGATTATTTCAATTTTTCATAACAAGCATGTTTTACTTTTTGTAATTAAAAAGAAAACTCAATAGGAAAAACAAACTACAAAGAAAAGGAGAAAAAAAAAGATTACCTTGGCTCGGGCCTCCCGGGATGCTTCTGCTTCTGCAGCCATAGCTCTCTGGAGCTGCACAGGCAGCTTCACGTCCTTAATTTCCACACGTTCCACCTTTATTCCCCAGTCGTCAGTGGCGTCATCCAGGGTAGACTGATAGGAAGAGAGAAGGCAAGCTAGAAACGTTCAGCCCCAGCCCAGAGGCCTCAGGTATCAGTCTTCGTTGGGACTGGAGTGGATAACGCACTGGGGCAGAGTTGTAGACAGATTAGTTACCCTGTGGTGGAAGGGATGCTCAAGTAGGGGCTGGGTCACTGGGGAGCGGATCTCGATTCTGTTACTAATGCAGGGGTTTCCTAAAAGGGCCAGATACTAATGGTGTAGTTTCAGTCTCTGTTGCAACTACTGAGCCCTGCCATTATAGTTCAAAAGCAGTCACGGATAATACACGAACCAATGGGTGTGGCTGTATTCCAATAAAACTTTACTTACAAAAACAGGTGGCTAGCTCAGGTGAGCCATATTACTTCTTTGTGCTTCAACTTCTTCCCTTTACAGTGGTAACAATGAAATCATACTATCTATTTCGTATGATTGTTGTGGGATCAAATAAGATCATAGATTTTACATACAATGAAGCCTCTACGAATAATAAGAGTTCAGATTTATAGTACTTTATCGTTTTTGAACAAGTCAGGTTTAATTCATCATCTATTACTCAAGCAAGATTGGAAAGCATGAGAGTTACAAGGGAATCATGGGACTCACAGAGAATCAAGCTTTAACAATACCTGCATTATCTTGCAGAATGGCCTCTGAACTATTGTGTGAAAGAAAAAGGTTATTACTAATTCTGGAAAAAAAGTATACACTGAGGGAATAAAAAAACAATGCATGCACCTCAGTTTATTAACCCACGAGCTATCGGTGTGAAAAACATCCCCTTCCATCAAGTTTGGGAAAACCTTTCTATGAAGGAAAGAAGGCCAGGGATTCCCCAACTTGAATTAACAAAAAGTTCTCAAACAACCATTGAGCCTTTGCTTCATTTTTCAATTTCTGGTGAGTAACAGCACTGGTGCACTCCTCACCTGCATGTTGTGTGCAATTTCTTCTCTGTCAGAGAGGATCTGAGAAAGGTTTTTGGTGCCCAGGACGTTCCTCAGAGTAGTTTGTGCCAACAGACGAGTGGCCGAGTCAGCGTTGGTGATATTTGCCACAGCCAGGGTTGCATTCTGAACGCGGTAATAGACCACGCCATCCACACTAATTGTCACTGAATCCTTAGTGAGGATCTATGACATAAAGAAAGCAATTTTAGGGGCTGGTGTGGTGGTGCAGTGGTTAAGTTCACATGCTTCACTTCGGCGACCCAGAGTTGATGGGTTTGGATCCTGGGCACGGACCTACACACCACTCATCAAGCCATGCTGTGGCGGTGTCCCACATATAAATAGAGGAAGACTGGCACAGATGTTAGCTCAGGGACAATCTTCCTAACAAAAAAAAAAAAAAAAAGGAAAGCAATTTTACATCTGTCAATCAACTATTTCTTTAATATAACTGCAAGGAATGTTATTCTGTAGAACATCTTAAAACACTAGCTGATTTTCTTTACTCAGTGCTGGCGACTGAATGCTGGTGTCCCCCCAAAATTCATATGTTGAAACCTAACCCCCACTGTGTTGCTATTTGGAGGTGGGGCCTTTGAGAGGTGATTAGATCATGAAGGTGGAACCCTCATGAATGGCATTAGTGCCCTTATAAAAAAGACCCCAGAGAGCTTTGCCCCTTTTGCCAGGTGAGGACACGGTGAAAAATAGCCCTATATGAACCAGGAAGCAGGCCCTCACGAGACACCGAATCTGCCAGTGCCTTCATCTTCGACTTCCCAGCCTCCAGAACTGTGAGAAATAAATTTCTGTTGGTTACAAGCTACCCAGTCTATGGTATTTTGTTACAGCAGCCCAAACACTCTAAGATAGTACAGCATCAGAAAGTTAATTATCTTTAAAATTTTAGTAAAATATATTCATTTATTCATTAATTCCATTAATTCGTTCAAACATTCAACCAATATTGAGACTCCACTCAGATAGGTACCAGGGATAAAGGTATGAAAAAACTTGTTCCTACTTTCAAAGAGGTTGGGGAATCAAAGGAGGCTTTAAGGGACAAAGGATGGGCAGTTGTAGGTGGCAGGGTGATACCTGAACTAAGTCTTGAAGGAAGAAAAAGATTTTCTGAGGGTGGAGGGTGGAGTGAAAGAGTCCTCAAGGCAGAGAGAATAATGTGTGCAAAGGCACAGAGGTATGGGAGAGCCTAGGTTTGATGAACTAAAAGTAGCACAGTATTACTAGAACAAAAAGTGAACAGGCAATGTTTTTATAGAGCGAGGTCAGGGTAAATATATATTTACAGCATGCTACACAAAAACACTCAACAGGACATAGTGCCTCAATGCTTCCCACCATTAGTTTGGTATACACGTCCTTTGACATTTGGCCCTCTGGCCTCATTCCTCCCCGCTCCCTCCTGCACACTCTATACTAGACGACATGTATGCTCCCGCATGCATCATGTTCCACGTCCCCAGGCCTTTATGCATGTTGCCCCTCTGCTTGGATATCATCTCCCCCCTCTCTCTCTCCCTCACAGCATCACACTGGCATATTCTTACTCATCATTCAAGACACAGCTCAAGCGTCGTCTTCTCTGTGTCTCACTTGGCAGAGTTAAACCCTCTTCTCCTTGTACCCTACTGCAGTGACATTATTTATTTACATCATTACCTCTCTATTAGACTATGAATTTCTTGAGGGCAGTTTGTCTCTGTATCTCTAGCACTGGCGGAGCGCTTGACACATAGCTGGTAGTCAATAAACGAGAGATGATCTAAAATGAAACGTGGTCCTAGAACACAGTGACTGATGAAAAGTGCAGGAGTGAGAGTCAGGAGACCTGAACTGTAGTTCCAGCTCCGCCTGTACCTCCCTCGGCGATCTCTAGCAAGGCCTTTACACTGTTTGACTTAGAGATTCCTCGTGTGTGACATGGGGCTAATAAGACTGCCCAATTCTAGGCAAATTTCTTTGAAGATCAAATAAGAAGATGTTTGTTTACGAAGCCCTTTTGAAAGCGTAAAGAGCTACATAAATGGAAAGTAAGAAGAACAGAATATAACACAGCTGTTTGGTCCTGCCAGGCATCAAAGCAGTAATCCTTTTTTAGTAATTTAAAAATACTTCTAACTTGGAAGAGAAGTAGGGCATTTGTAAATAAATGTACAGAATATTACCATCTTGTGTGGAAACTAATTATTTCCCATGATGTGATGGGAAACTGTGTATCACAAATTCCTGTCCCTGTAACTGCCACAGCCAGAACTTTCTCAAGCTGCAGCCTCTCTGCCTACTGTTTATCGTAGGCAGTGTTTATCTCCCTTCACAGTAAATTCACTGGGGATCGGAAAAAGGACTGCTTGCCAAATTCCAAACTGCTCTGCATTCAGCAGCTTGTAGGAGACAAGGAAGCAGCTGGAAGGCAGAAGCTGAGAGCGACCCTGCCAGAGGCCTACAACGGTGATAGAGTAAAATGTCAGAAGAATTCCCAGCTACCCTGAAAGGGGCTGCTTCTGAGAGTCAATCTTCCCTGAAAGATGGGAAAACATGCAGAGAATACAATGATGCTCTCAGTTTAGTTCTTGTGGGTAAAAATGATTTCTGGTGTCACCACATACGTGTGGATTATAAAGTCTGATCTCACCAACTGCTTGGATCAGTACCAGCAAGGAACTGCTAACCTGGCTTCTGGATTTTGTGACAAGAGAAGGCAACATGGCCAGGCTCCACTATCCTGCTGGGTATGCGGCCTTTGGCCAGGAAACACTGACAGGATTCTTCTGTTCCTCCCTTCATCATGTTTTCAGGCTTTCTGCAATGGTCACTATGCCTCCTTAGACACGAGTACCAGAATGGCCATCACTTCTTCAAGAGCCATGATGGAGCTAACGTAGAACGCAGTTAGCACAGAACTGTGGAAAAAACACTGGACAGGGAATCCAAAGAGCTGGATTTTAGTCCTGGCTCTGCCACTGTAGTCTGCAGGAATTCCCTTGTCTCACTGTAACTATATACTTCTAGGGATTCTGCTGTGAGTGTCAACTGTGATAATATTTGCGACGTAGTTTGAGAAAGCAGGAAATAATTACTAGTATAAAACATTATATGCTTTATTTAAAATGGCAAATGAGCAGTTTCTAATTCTTTGGCTTCTAACCAATTTATCTAGAATAAAATCAAGAACCTTAAGAAGAAAGAATATTATACTAAATAGGATTTTCTATCAGAAACCCATAGAGGAGAAATGTGGGAGTAAAAATGACAACAACGATAACGCTAATGTTATACTTACATTAACATTACACTATGTTTTGTAATAATAATAACAAGCACTTATATAGCATTTTCTATTTATCAGCCACTATTCTAAGCACTTTATTTATAATACCTTATCTAGGCCTCACAAGAACCTTATAAAGTAGCTCCTACTATTATAACGTCTATTTTGTACATGAGGAAACTGAGGCATAGAGAAGCTAAGGAACTTGGTCGACGTCACAGAGCTAGAAAATGGTGAAGGCAGATAGGCTCTAACCCTGTGCTCTAACTGCTATCCTAAGCAGCCTCTCATTGTCAAGCACTTTCACACATGATGTGTCATTTATTCACAGCAAAAGACAACCTTACCTCCTGAGGAGGAATATCAAAGGAAATAGTTCTCATGTCCACTTTGATGAAGCTGTCAGTGCACGGCAGGATAAAAAACAAACCTGCGGCAAAGATAAAAAGATACGTAGAAGATTACACAGAGACACCAGCACCTCATCAGTTCACTTCACCACTCAATTCTAAGAGAACCAACCTAATCAAAGGAAAGTCAACAATTCATCTCAGCGAATGAGCCAGAAGCCAAGAATGTTATCCTTGACTCCTCTTGCCCACATCCAACTGTCCCCACCAAGGCCTGTGGATTTCATTTCCTTACTTCACTATTACCGTCACTCTTTTGTTTTCACTAAGACAAATGCAACTGCTTCCCAAGTCACCTTTCTATTTCTTCTAGTTTCTCTCCTGCAATCCATTTTCTAAGCTGCAAGAAGAACCATCTTTCCTGAAATACAACCATTGAACAAGCCATACAAGGTCCTACACAACCTGCCCTGGCTTCCCTCTTCAGCCACTGCCCTCTCCTCACCCTGCACTCTTGCTGGGCTGAGCTATCTGCAGTTCCTGAGCCTGGGATGCTCCCCTCCACACTGCTTTGTACACGTTGCTATTTCGGCAGGAACACCTCCCCTCTGGCTAACACCTTTTCATGCTTCAAGATTCAGCCAAGAGGTCACCCCAGAAAGCCTTATCTCATCCTACTAGTTCAGGTCAGTCACTCGTCTCTGCGTTTCTACAGCTATCTGTGATTACTTGATCATAATATTTATCACAAAGGATTGTAACTATCTGTTTTCTTGTTGGTGTCACACCACCAGACAGTAAGATCCTTGAGGGCAGGGACTGTGTTTTCATCTCCACTGAATTTACAGAGTCTGGAACAGTAGAAGCTTAACCAAAGTTTGCCAAGAATAATGACTGAAAGCCTTTATTCTAGTGGGAATGCTCATGCTCAAACTTCCATAGCTGTAGCTATTCCTGGCCTAAGATAATCTTATCAGCTTGAAGGGGAAGGGGAGGGGAGAAGAGGGAAGGAAAGGGTGATTGTAGCAAGACTGGCCAGCACAACTGCTATTGTTATACAACTGCTGCTATGTGAAGTCCTTTCTAAGTCCACAGAGAAGAGACCCTCCTAACGGGAATCACTTCAACAAAAGAAAAATTTCAGTCTCCACGCGTACAATCCAGACTCCTCGGACTGACCAGGTCCTTTGGCTCCTCCTTGTAAAATGCGACCCAATCTGAAGATGATGGCTCTTTCGTATTCTTTTATGATCTAGATTAAAAACACAAACAGTAATTTACCACGAGGAGTACAAATATTTATATGCAGAGCTCTTTACATACATTTTTCTGCTCTAAACAGGTTAGAGGCCTTTATTCTGTTTTCTTTCCTACAATCCAGATCATACCTATAAATAACATGTCCAATGTTCAATCACCCTGCCAAGTATGATATTTATTTACTTTTTTTTTACTGATTATAAAAGCAACAGATATTCATTGTATAAAATCTGCAAAGTCTAGGATAGTATACAGAAGCAAATCCATAACCTCATTCCTCAGCTGTTAACACTATCATTCAATGACTCGTGCATTGTCAGTAAAGAAAAAAAAAAAGCTAAAGTCCTCATAGTTTGTCTCCTGATTCCTTAAATTATAATAATAAACTTAACTGGAAATTCTTGGGGCATATTTTATCTTCTTAGGAATATGTAAATGATAGCCATTTATCAAAGTATTAATAACTTAATAGAAAAAATAACCTGCATCTTGGGGGTACTTACCATGTGCCAGGCATTGCAATAAGCACATTCAAATACATTAATTCTTTTAATCCACACAATGGTCCTATGAGGTGCGAGTTGTCATTTCCTCCCATTTTACAGGTGAGGAAACATGGCAAAGGTCACACAGTAAACAATGGAGCCAGCAGTCAAACCTCAGCATCCTAACTCTGGAGAACTTGTTCTCAAAGGACCATCCCATATCCCTGACTCCAGAAAATTTTAGATGGCGATCCTTACTTTAACCCTCGGGAAGGACTGACTGGACAATGGCTGAAAAGAAGTTTTAAGATTCCATTATAATAGCTGACTACAGTGAATTTTCCAAAAGAAAGATGAAGGAAAAAGAACTATGGGCCAGTATGGTCTCTCTCTGTCTCTTTTACACACACGCTCACAGAAAGGGGGTTTATGTGGGTAGGAGTTGACCCCTTTCCAGAAGCAAATGAGATGTTCTTTACCTTTATGCACATCCATATTGACAATGGGAAAGTTATAACTGTGAACAAGAACGAGGCAGCCACCAAAATCCATCCACAAGGTCCAAGGCCTGTGCTGGGGCTATCTGTGAAAACAAAAAATATACAGCTCTTATCATTGTTATTAACACGATCCTGCCATCCTCATCCTCACTGAACACCTATGCTTGGCATTCTACCAGCTGTTTTACGTGCATTTTCCCATCTAATCCTCATAACAAGCCTCAAGTGTAAGTGCTACTTTCCCTAATCTACTTAACACGGTAACACAAGTATTTTCCCCATTAGTCTTTTTACTTTATCCAGCAATCATTTATTAAGCACCTAATATTTATTATGCCCTGGGCTTTGCACTGAAGTAGTAAAAATGAATAAGACCCAATCCCAGCCATTGAGAAGGTTCAAGTTTAGTGGCGAAGACAGACAGAAAATTATAACACTGGGTGTAAGCATAGAGTATCTGTTCAGAATATTCTGAAAACACACAAACAGGAGTAACTCACACAGTTGGGATGGAGGTGAGAGTGGAGTGGGGTGGGTAGGTGATGGTGGTGGTTATCAGAAGGGCTTCTTACAGGATGTGATGGTTAACGAAAATACCAATGAAAAGGAAGGGGGAAGGAAGGAATAAGGCCTTTAAGTCTAGGGTATAGCATAATAAAGTTTAATAAGAGTATAAACTTACTTAGACTCTCTTTTTAAAGAGATAACCTGCAAATTATTTCACTGGGTACATGCACCATAATTTATTATCCATTTCCTAATTATTAGGTTGTTTATGATTTCTTACAATTATTAACAATGCTCTAATGAACATCTTTGTACACAGTTTTCCTCTCACATTTGTAACCCATTCCCTTTTCTGTAACACGAAATAGCTTTTTGTCTGATTACAAAGGCAATTCGTGCCTCACTGCAAAAAATTCAGAAAAATATAAAAAAGGGAAAATTTACCCAATCAAGAGATAATAAATATTCTTCCAGACTGTTTCCTCGGTCACACATATTTTTATAAAAAAATAAAATTTGTAACCCATTTCTCTCCCCTCTAGCTATTGTTCTTTCATCCTTTTTAGCCTTTGTTGCTAATCATTTGTGCTTTTTCTGTTTTAGTTTTAATTTTTTATCAGTTATAGTTGCAGAAAGTTAAAAAGTCAAAGACTTCTACAAGATCAGTACAAAAAGAATGCAGTCCCCTGCTCATCTCTTCCAATTTCTCCTTCCTCAAAGGCGACTGCTCTTTTGGCTGAGTATTTTGGTATTTACCTCCATATTTCTAAATAATATGCTGGTTTTGTTACTTCTTGCTTTTCAGTTTTGAGCACTATTTTTTACTATGGAAAAGGATTTCATTTTCTCCGCCCCCTCCCCTTACCACATGAACATACCCATCCTTCTAATTATGTCATAATTTTGGTTAGATCAATATCAAATTTTATATTATCATGAATATGTAAATGTGAATCAAAGCTAAGCCACATACTGAGGTATAATTAGTTTTCCTTTCCTGTACAACTTTTTGGTTTTTTCTGGAGTTCGTGTCTTAGTTTTCTCCTTTGTAATTCTCTTTGATTCAACCTCAAACCTTCTGTCAATTGTCTAAATCGCCTTTCAGAAGGGTCAGGTGTTCTCTCAATCTCATCCTCAGAGAGTCTCTCGCAGCCGTGTCTGGTAGTCCTCCCACCTGGTGTGCACGCCGCCACTCTGTGACTGCCTTTCACTATGGTCCTGGGAAATTCCCTTCACTTCCTGTGTTGTGTTTCCTGTTTCCTATATCCAGTGTCTTCCTCATTTTTAGTTTGTTTTTCCTTTCTGTAGAGGACAGAAGGACCGAGGACGCCAAGAGATACTATCACTTTCTTACCAACCACAGAAGGCTTCTGCTGTATCTCCAGGAGCTGTTCAATAATGGGAGGAGATTGGCAAAAGGGGAAGAGGTACATGTTAGTGCTCAGAAGAAAGGGCAAAGATGGCAGACACAGGACTTTGAATAAATAGGAGGCCAAGAAATAAGCACAGAGTTAAGGCTGGGGGCATGGGAGAAAAGAGAGACACAAGCTGGCATCCAAGTCAAGTGCTTGAACACACAGGATGAAAAACCTGTGAAACACTCAAGTGTGAGAAATACATGAGTTCAGTACTTTGGTTATACATGACTTCGTAGTTTTCTGATCCAGCGTCGTCGTTTGAGGTAAATGTCCTTATTCATAATTAAAGGAAGTGACCGAAGTTAACCCTGGAGGTTTCTAAGTTATAATTGTTGGGGGTATAGACATATTCACTGAGAGAATATTCCAAGCAAGGCCACAGTGCTGCCTGTAGAGACAGCTCTATCAGGTACGATCATAACTGATAATAATCACAGCAGCCATTTTTAGATGGTTTGTTATACCCCAGGCATTGTGTGAAATTACTTTAGATGTGTATCTCATTTATTGTTTACAAAGCCCTGTGAAGTTAAGTATTTTTTTTTTTAAAGATTTTATTTATTTATTTTTCCCCTCAAAGCCCCAGTAGATAGTTGTATGTCATAGCTGCACATCCTTCTAGTTGCTGTACGTGGGACTCGGCCTCAGGATGGACGGAGAAGTGGTGCCTCGGTGTGCGCCCGGGATCCGAACCTGGGCCACCAGCATCGGAGCGCGCGCACTTAACCACCAAGCCACGGGGCCGGCCCACGTTAAGTATTCTTAATTCCATTTTACAAACGAGGTAACTGAAGCAACACAACTTTCCCAAGGTCACACAACGGAGGACCTGGGATTCAAATTAAGTCATCTCACTCAAAGCTCATGTTCTAAATCAATTCACGCTTTGACTCTTTGCCTCTGAATAAACACATCCTCATTAAAGAAGTTTTCACGTTTGGAGCACTTTCTCAAGACAGTATCCACACTGGGAGAGCATGGCAGGAGTTCTGAGAATGAAATCTGATATTCCTACAGAGGAAGCCCTCTTAATTCCAGCTGTGCCTATTTATAGCAAAAGATGGTCTCAAGGCTCTCTGCCAGGCTCAGGTCAAGGCTTCCAAAGTGAAATGGATTCCAAACAAGGAATAGATTGGCCAAAAATACTTATCTGACAGCATTTGGGATTTTCTAAAATATTGCTCCAAGTCTCCCATATTCCAGGCAAAGTGCATAGCTCTATGTCCTGAATATATTAGACTATAAACTCCCTGAGGGCAGGGATGTTTCTTATTCATTTTTATATTCTCAATGTCTAGCACAGTATCCTGCATAGAGCAGATATAAAATACTTCTTACGAAGCTTTCCAGCTAGATGTGTTCTTTCCTTCCTCTGAATCTTGATAACCTCTCTTATGGCACTTATATTTTACCTAATACTTTAATTTCTTGTGCAGTTATATCCCTTATTAGACTGAAATTTCCTGAGAACAGGGAGTGTCTAAGTTGGAATTTTAATTCTGTTACTTCTTAGTGATCTTTACCTCTTTCAACCTTAGTTTCCTCCCCTGTAATAACTAAGAATAATTAGACCGGCCTTGTAAGATTGAGGCAGTGCAGATAACAGTTTTCTGTAATCCTCCCATTTTACTCAAGTGTTCAAATTTTCACAATGAAAGATGGGAAAATAGGTAGTTTTTACCCTTTTTTAACAAAAGCCTCTTAAACGACTTAATTTTTCCCTCATTTCATGCCTCCCTCCTGCCAGGCTAGGCTTGGACATTCAAAGATCCTCGAAAAGCTCATTTATGAATTGAGTTATTAAATTATTGAATTATTATCTACATGAGGAAAAGCCAGAAAGTCCAGCCCAGTTTTTTTGTGCTTACTTTCCATTTTCACATTGTGTTTTTGAAAACCACAGATGAGTACATGCAATTACAAACTAAGACGAACAAGAAATTAAGTGGATTTCCTGGAAACTGGTCTTGGCCTGTCACATTTCAAATGCTCAGCTAGAAATAATTAGAGTGTATATACTGGGGAAATGGCACCATTTCATATTATTCTAGTGCCTTTAAGATGAAACTATCCTATTTTCAACCCTCAAAATTCTTCCCCACCTGATTACAGCTCAAAAAGGTACACAAATCACATTCCTCAGGGAGGTGAGGCTTCAATTCCACCAGGCTGTAAATGAACCCTTTCTCACCTACCATTTATGGGGAAAATGGAAAAGAAATTCTCAGTCAAAATTTCATGAAATGCATTTCCTTCAAGTTTCCTTCATTATCTTGAGGACTGAATCCTCCCTACCAGCTTTCCCAGGTAAAAGGCAAATAAGGAGCAATCGGAATTCCTGAGATATTTTGGTTGATATACTTGTTGATACTTTGCTGGGTGAGAACACTCCTAAAGATTAAGTATCCCATGATTGTAAATACTACTTTGCCATGGTTTACAGTATTCTTTTCTTTTACTACCAAACTCTTTCCTGAAAACTGCATTAGAATAAATTTTTAACTAACCAAAGAAATGTTTTGAAAATGGATATAAGCCTATACATTAACATTTTCTTATTGAACATTCAAATTGGGCTTACCTCCAGGAAACCCAAATTAATAAACCCCAAATTAATGTAAATTTTGAAAATTACTGCCTTTTGCCCCCTTATTTTGAAAGCAAAATATTGTCAGTAGAAAAATTAGAAATTAGAGCTTAACAAATAGAAAAGTTATCTATACTTTTGTTATCTCTGGATGGTGATTATTTTCTGCCTTGCTAAATGTCCTTTAAACCTTTTCTATCTTACTTCTTTTCAAAAATGAAATAATGGTACATAATGATTTTATGTATAAAATGCTTTTAATATTGTGAACATCTTTTCATGTCAGTACCTATTCTTTATTATTAAAGGCTGAATAATATTCCATTGTTCCATATGATACACATTTAGGTTGTGTTCAATTTTCTCAATTAGAAACTGCTGCACTGAATATACTTTTAGCAAAGTATATTCCACACATCCTTATTACGTAAACTAATTTTGCTGAAAAAGATGAAATTACATAATTCTTAAATTTCTCTCATTCCAGAGGTATCTTTTATTACTACTAATAATAACCATTTATTGAATGTCAGCCACAAGCTAGCTCCTTATATATATATTTCTAATGTTT